AATATAGAATTTTTTTGCTGAATTAAAAGCTGAGCATAGAAGTGACTTCTTTTTATTGAAGGCGACTCGACCCTGTGCTATCCTCTGCTTTATATCCCTACTACTCCTTCCGTCCTGACTTATCTGACATCCTAGATACCTAAAATCAGTCACCTCTTCTAATTTTTCGTCTCCTATCTTTATATTCGCTCTTTCCCTACTTTTTCTTCCCTTGCATACCAATATTTTTGTTTTCCTTTTATATATTTTCCTACAGTGCTGTTTTGTCAATACCGCTTCCATTTTATTTAAATCTATCTCTAGAAGATAATAGTAAAGCAGAAATTTCTTGATATGGTTAAGCATCCCATTATGTTACGTTGATTAATATTTTGTTAATTTTTATTTTAAGGACCTATTTGCTGATGTATGCTTGTTGTACAAGGAATATACCGATTCATTTAAAACGTTTTTACCTTCTTCAAAGTAAAAAAAAAGACGCAGATGGCTATAAAAGGTCATGCATTGTACATTTTTGTTTGCATATTTCACGTAGGTCTGCATAATTTTATTAGATCATTGTGCGTCATATGGAACAGTCAAACATAATATGATACACATTCTGTACAGTTCGGCTATTTGCAAACCTTGATGTTGCAAACACTTGTTAACCACAACCTAGACCTATTTACTTACAAAAATTTTTTTTTTCTTGATAAATATGAAATTTCAAGTATAAAATGACGTAACATATTTACTGACTATTTAGATGTTTAATTTAGCAAGAATTAAAAATAAGTGCAGATTTAGGAAGACGTGTTATCATACAGATATTAGGTACTATTATTGCAACAGGCCTCTGCTTCTTCTTCCGTAATTAGGGAAGTTTGGCATACTTTTTTCACATCCGCTTCTGCATCTGATTCCGCATTTTTATAACGGAAGCTTACCGAAACTTTATAAAAAATATAATTATTTCTCATCTTTCTTAAAATCAATATATCGGAACAATAAAATTTTAACAGTTCGGCCATACTGATATATTCTTGTTTACGAAAAAAATAAACCCAAGAACTATATCGAAATAATAAATAATTTAGTGTAGTAATCAATAAACAATACAAATTAGGGTAAACAACCCCATATCCCATACAAATTAATTACTAGCCATTTTTCATTAGGTAAGTTTTTTATTATATATAGAGTTATTAAATTATTTTTCTGATCTACAAATAGGATTCTAAAATCCTCCCAATATCGGATTCAAACCGGGTACCTGACCAATTTTTATTAGAAACTGATGAAGTAGCGCTGGCATCGCGAAATTTTTATTGTTATTATTTATTATTTTTAAATCAATTGCCCTTTAAGTACCATGAGAAATAGATCCTTTTTATTTTTTATTTGATTTTTGATTAACATTAATTTTGCATTTTTATCCCTTTAAGATGATTTTAAGAGTGTGTATCTAAGTTTTTGACGGTTTTACGAAATAGTGAATCTTATTTTCAATTCGATTTTTAATATTGACGTCTATTTTGTTTCATCGTTAGTGTTTACCATCTTCACGAAATCATATTTTGCAGAAATGTTTCGCGAAATTTGCTATTTACTATTTTTTCTTTTCGACAAAACTAATTAGAAGTACTAAAAAAATATTAGAGCCATGTAAACTTAATATCAATAAATATAATCAAATATTATTGTTACTGGTCTTTTTATTTCAAAACAATAAATCGCCTTTTTAATCAAAGGGTTTAGAAAATTGAATATAATTAGTAGATTTCTGATATTTCCTATTTCTTAAACATTATAAAATTTTAAAACCAGAAATTAAATTAAAAGCAATATCATTTATAAAAGAAAAATAGTTTCTATGAAATCTAGGGAATGGGTTTACCCATAAAAGAATTTCCCTAAAAAATATGTTTCAGGAAAACCGTGTTTTCGGGTTTCGCCCAGGACACACGCTATTTCCTGAGAGAAACTGCAAGAAATACCATTTTTGGTTTGTTAGATTGGGGTAGATCGCTTCACCAGGACTGCTGCAAAAGTAGGCAGCTATCCACGGGACGACCTTTGCCCCTTCAAAAATTAAGGACTAGTGAAACTAGTATGTACGCCGAGCGTTACCAAGGCATGTATATTTTCCTTACTCAGTAGTTTAAGGCACGATTTGATCCGTCTGATTCCTCGAACGCTTAAAAATATCGTATACAGTTTGAACGCAAACTGCATATTTCTGCCACCTAGCAGATGAAAGTTGTATGAAAAACGTTACTCGAATAGATACCTATTCTCATATCGCTTTACAGTTTTCATAACAAACTGCAGATTTCTTTTCAACGCAATCTATTAAACTTTAGAAAAGATTCCACATGGATACCGCTTTTTTTTTTTAATACAGAAAACAAATAAATGATGTCGTACAGTACCTAATATTCCTAAGAGAAATTAATTCATCATATTTACCTTTTTTTAAAGTGATCGCAAAAAAGTAAAGGTGCCTCCCCCATTTCACTCTCCTTGCGATCCATTTATCTTCAATAAATATCTCTGCCAGCAAAAGAATAATAAAAATTAAAATAAATATGAATATTAACATGCAATTTAATAACTTACTTTCATTTAATATCTTGAACTCGACGTTGGTTGTAGCACTTATTTCTCACTTAATTAACACTTTTTATCGATAATGGGCTCAAAAATATTCCGTAAAAGAAAAAAATTTTTATAAATCACTTACCCAGTGAAGCCCCCTCCGAATAAAGTTGTATTTGTCGTCATAATTACCATCTGTAAATAAGNTCCTACATTCACTTAAGTATAAAATATTTTTTAAGAAAACCTTGCAGGCATTTTCTCATTTTTTAAATATTGTAGTTTTTCTAGATTAACAGTGGTATTTACACTATATCGCCAGCCGCAAAAATTAAGTATAATTCATATTTTTCTATTTAAAGTGTTTAGGATACAGTTTTTCTAACTTTATGTTATAGTTTCTTCAGTTCAGCAATAAATAATTCTCCTAAATGATTCCTTATTTGCCTTTGTCACCCGTTTTAATTGGAAAAAAGACACCGATGCCAAGATAATTTGTTTAGCGTAAAAGATTAGAGCCAAAATGGAGTTTCAAATAATTTTATTGAAGTAAAATCAACATCAATCATTTTATATCAAAATATTTACAACCCCATTTTGCTTCCGATCTTTTACACATTGTAATAAGAGAAAGAAATAGAATCCATAGTTTCTTTAACTTAGATTAATCCATCTAATATGTGAAGCTTTTCGAATAGCTTTCTAAGAATTTTAGATTACATGCCATTATTAGAGCACCACAATATCTTGTAATTTTACTTTTTTACATGGCTGTCTATATCAATTCGATATTGTTTTGCTGGCTGTTTTGTCGTAATTCATAGAATTTCGTAGTTCCTTGCTAAAGGTACGATAAGCGGTGATTTGGCAGGTGCTGTTATCAATTTGCAACTTCAAAATTCCATGGACCATGACATTGAATATATTGATTATCCATTGCCAAAGAATATAGAATTTTTTTGGAATGGATAATAATCTATTAAGTTAGAGAATTAAAAGGCATTCATAGAAAGTCTCCTTAACGCCTTTTTAAGCTTCTAATACCTTCAATAGCCAATGAGCAACTTTAATTTATTATTGTATATAATGTTCGATCGGTGATACTAGCAAAACTTTTAACGGAAAAAATATATTTTGCATTGTATAGAAATAGAAAATACGTTTGGAAAAATATTTTAAATAAAATACAAAATGCTTTTCTCAAAAAGTATTTAAATGCAAGATAAAAATAGGTATTTTTTGTTTTGTACTTGCATTTTAAATGCAAGTATTTCATTAAATTACATCTCTGATCATATTTAATAGTAAGGATTAAAATTGCTATAAGGAAAAGCATTTATTTCTTCTTCATTATTCAGAGAAGAAAAAAAAGTGTATATGACTTATTGTATTCAATTTTTCAAAGTTCAANATAAAAATAGGTATTTTTTGTTTTGTATTTGCATTTTAAATGCAAGTATTTCATTAAATTACATCTCTGATCATATTTAATAGTAAGGATTAAAATTGCTATAAGGAAAAGCATTTATTTCTTCTTCATTATTCAGAGAAGAAAAAAAAGTGTATATGACTTATTGTATTCAATTTTTCAAAGTTCAATAAGTGACCAGTGATTTGATTGATATTCTGTCAGTTGTGGTCCATGTCAGATACATTCCCGCGTCAATATGACATCTCTTGATGATCAATTATCGCAAGTTATATTGCTGCTCTTTAAAAACATATACAATATTTATAACAGTATCCTGTCTTCTACTTACTGTCGGCGAAATAATTAACTTATATTTTAAAGAGCGTCTATATTGGTATAATTATATTCTAATAATATTTTATGTTTTTATTTTACTGTCCATAATAGCAGTACCATTCGCAATAAAGGCCCCAAGACCATGGCTAATTAAAAATTTAGCTAACAATATTTTTATTTCGGTCGTTGTAGATATATTTAAGGTATGGTTTCCTAAGGAAAACACTTCAAGGATAACTAATTCGAAAATTCAAAAATTTAATAATGATTTCTATTTTAGGCAATCATCTTATGTACTCAGACTTCAAAGACTTTTGTCAAGAACTACTGGTTTGGGCTGTTCGTGATATTTGAAATCAGAAGTGAACTACAAAGTAGTTTACAAATATTTACAATTATTCTGTACATATTGCGAGGATTGTTACAATTTTTCTTTTCGATGGTAGTTATGGATTATTATGCAACATTTTTTGTAACTGAAACTGATGATACTGAACCTTTGTAGTTGCTTAAGTATAAGAAGAAAAGTGAATACACATCAAAAGATAAAGGAATAATTTGTACATATTAGAACTTTTAATAAATATAATTAACAGAGTCCTTTCTGCTTTATGTAATAAAACTAATTGAAAAGGCTTTTTTTGTATAATTTTATTTAAAATGTACGTATTTCATTTTACTACCTACAAATATTCTTGAAGAGTATTCAAAACTGAAATGTACAAATTATCGTTATCACCCTTTAAAAATTAAAAATTTATCTGTCATAGGGGTTTTATAAATTCTTTTTTAAAGAAATAAAACTTCAAATTTCAACTACTAATCTGTCAAGTGCACTTACCAGTTAGCATAGCATTAATTTCAACGTCTAATACAATATATTCATTATTATTAGATGTGCCACTAAAATTATTAACAATATAATAATTTGTAGACTGCATATTCTAGGTAAGTTTTTTATTATCATTAACCGCACTATTGTATTCTCTTTATTTTGGAATTGAAATGTCAACTGATTATCACTAGGGGTTCAACAAACATAATTAAAAACATGCTTCTGATATCTAATAGGAGTTTGGCTTTTACTCCGTCCTTGACCCAACTATAAACTGAAATAATTATTTATTTTCACGTAGCATTGTAACATACCGTATACAGACTAACGCTACAAAATTAAAAGTCTGGAACTGCTAAATCCTGTATACTGTAGACCAGGGATGGCGAACCTTTAAGTACCGTCGTGCCATTTTTATAAAGAAAAGTTAAATCAGGTCATAGACGTGCCATCAAATAATTTTGTCTGTGTGATTATTAGGAAAATAATGATAATGAATAATATCAACTCAAAATTCTACAAGAAAATAGAAACATTTTGCAATGTTTAAATTATACGTGTAATTTAAATTAAAGTAAAATTAGTGTGACTTCTGTTTTTGCAGATTATATGACAAATAACTTATGTTAGGGTTGTAAGATGTTAATTTTAGCAGAATGCATGCTGAACTGGAGTCATCTACCAAACGGTTTGTAACTGCGAGTTTCTTATGTTATTAATCTCTGAAAATAATGACTCGCAGGCATAGGTTGATGAAAACATTATTAAAATATCATATGCCAGCTTTTTCAAAAAATTAAATGTGTTTGTTATCGCATTCCATGTTTCCAAAATTTTGTTATTAGCATTTTCACTTGTATTACCCGTCGATCTTTCTGTTTCAATTATTTGTAACTCTTTCCTTGTTCCAACAACTTTTTGAATCATATTGAACTAGACTGGATATCAATCCGCTGCATTTCAGATTCTTCAATTTATTTTATCAAATGTCACGTCAGGGTACATAATAAACTTTCGTATTAGTATTTCCGGTAATTCTCTGAAGTGAGAAAATCTTGCTGAAAATTCCTTGATTAAAAAATCAATGACAGAAACATTAGTGACGTGCCCAAAATATTGTGTCGTGTGCCACTAATGGCACGCGTGCCATTGGTTCGCCATCCCTGCTGTAGACCATCAAATTTAAGGGAGTGATATATAATATTATCAAAATAAAACGATGTAGAGACCAAAATACAGAGTAAGGAATAGACCCACGCAACCTTCGGCAAAGAAGATATGTTATTCATTTTTTGGGATTCTAAAGATGTAATTTCAGTAGATTTCTTACAGAAAGGGGCCGCAATTATAGGTGCTTATTATCCAGAGATGTACCTAATTTATTTGAAATACTTGCATTTCAAATGTAAGTACAAAATATGAAATTATATTGCATTAAAATATTTTTGAGAAAAGCATTTTGTATTTTATTTAAAATACTTTTCCCAACGTATGTTGTATTTGTAAAATGCGAAATACATTTTTGCCTTTAAAAGTTTTGCTAGTATCACCCATCAAACATTACATAAAATGATGAATGAAAGTTGCTCACTTTGGCCATTGAAGGTATTAGAACCTTAAAAAGGGGTAAAAGAGGTATTCCATGAATTATTTATCTGAAGAGAGCCCAAAAAAGTCTAAACTCCTTGGAAATGGATAATCTAAAATATTGGATTGATATTATTTTCCGGGTTCAATGTCATGGTCCATGGAATTTTAAAGTTTCAGATATCAATGATGAACGAAAGTTGTTCACGTTGGCTATTGGAGGTATTAGAAGCTTAAAAAAGGGATAAAGAGACATTCCATGAATGCCTTCTAATTCTTTAACTGAAGAGACCCCAAAAAATTCTAAACTCCTTTGAAATGGAAAATCTAAAATATTGGATCGATATTGCTTTCCGGGTTCAATGTCATGGTCCATGGAATTTTGTAGTTCCAAATTTATATCAGTATCTGCCAAATCACCACTAATCGTACTTTTAGCAACGAACAACGAAATTCTATGAATTACAAATTATGAAAAAACAGCCTTCAAAAGAATATGGAATTGATATACACTAGGTGTGTAAAAAAGTAAAACTACAAGATACTGTGGTGCTCTAATTATGGGAATGTAATCCAAAATTTTTAGAAAACGATTCGAAAAACTTCACTTATTAGATAAACACAAAGTTAAAGAGACTGTGGATTCCATTTCTTTCTCTTATTACAATGTGTAAAAGTAGATCAGAAACGAAATGCGGTTGTAAATATTTTGATATAAAATGATTGATGTTGATTTTACATCAATAAAGTTATTTGCATCCCCATTTTGTCTGATCTTTCACGCTAAACAAACTATTTTGGCATCAGTGTCCTTTTTCCAATTAAAACGGGTGACAAAGACAAATAAGGAAGTATATAGAAGAATTAGTTCTTGCTGAACTGAAGAAACTATAACATAAAGATAGAAAAACTATATTTCAATCACTTCAAATAGAAGAATATGAATCATACTTAATTTTCGCAGCTGGGGATATAGTGCAAACACCACTATTAGTCTAGAAAAACTCGAACATTTAAAAAATGAGTAAATGCCTGCAAGGTTTTCTTAAAAAATAACTACTACAAAAAAAAATAGTATTTTGAAAGTGCGTATTTTGCAAAGTAGAAGGAGGAGACTGTGGTAAATATTAATTAAAAAATTAAAAGGAATACTCACCCCTAATTACCACAAATAATTTTATATGAGCGGACACGTGTTTCGCCCACTTCACACGTGGGCATTATCAACGCGAGAGTCTCGCGTGTGAAGTGGG